GCTCAGTGCGGCGGTGTCTGTGGTCCTGGCCGATGCCGCCGCCGCCGCCGCCACAGCAGCAGCAGCAGCAGCAGCAGCAGCAGCAGCAGCAGCAGCAGCAGCAGCAGCAGCAGCAGCCTCGGAATCTGCGATCACCCTCGAGACAGCGACGCACATGATGTACGGCGGCCTTTTGTACCCGCTGCTTCTGGATGCTGATGGGGAGCCGATGATCCTTGCGCCCGATTACGTAGATGCAAAGGCGCTGCGAGGCGTCGGCATGCGGCTGTTGCACCTGGCGCCCTGCAGCACCGCCCTCGAAAGAATTGAGCAGCTCAAGGCACTGGGCGTGGTGGTGGGCGACGCGAGAGAGTGGGCGCCGCGCGCAGTCTATATGCGGGATCATCGCGATGGCCCTCGCGTCCAAGAGTGACCTCTCTTTGACGCGGGCGCCCGCCTGCATGTGGTGCACCCGAACGGCGACGTCGCCCCGGTATTCGAACAAAAACTCGACTACGACGTCACGCGCTATTACGCGATGCCCCAGGTGACGGCGTCAGGCAGAGTCGCGAGCGGCAAGGCATGGCCACAGGCAGCCAAACAGGATCTGTCATGGCTGCCAATAGACCACTACCATGAAGTTTACCTGACGTGAACAGCTGCCTGCAGGTTCTTCTTGACTGGGTCCTGCGCGACACACTCGCGTCGGATTTGTTTGTATACATTGGTGAACATCGCAGTGCAATCTGCCGATGTAGGCCTGGATGTTCACACTGCTGTAAGCCTCGGTGGTATCTTATGTGGCGCACGCGTGCGCATGCACCATTGAGACCTTGGGCCTGCCGGGCAGCAGCGCGCGCCGCCGGCCCCCTGGACGGCTGCCGCCGGATAGTGTACGCCGGCCGGCACAGCAGAGCGCCACGCGGCGGCGCGCTGAGGGACTTAGGTGACACATGGATCCGCTGGGCGCGGCGCCATGCCGCAGATAACTTTTCCCACTGCGCCGGAGCGGGCTGGGTCCTGCAAGGAGCTCTGAGGCGGCCCCCTTTGTGTGTGCACATGCGCCTGGCTCAACAGCTGTGTCACTTGCGGGTCTGAGCCTGAAGTCATGTCATACACATATCCTTTGCTCACGCACTTGATACATTTGTTAGGCGGACGTAGATTCTGGTGCAGGACTCTCAAATCCGGGAAGGGGTGGATCCACGCCTCTGCAAATTCGGGTGCCAGCAGCGTTGTAGGTAGCGCCCAGAAGGCTGGTGTGGTTTGAGTGACCCTGCTGTCAAGCCACCCTCTGCTGTGAAGGCTGTGACGTGTAAACTTGCTTGTCACAATGTAACAGATGCCGCATATTTCCAAGCAGTCAAGTGTCCAGGCCGCATTGGGGGCGGCTTGCGCCTTGTCTCAATGGTCTTGGAAGGAGAGCGCTCTGGTGACTGCTGTCCACGGAAGTGGCACCAATTGCATGTTGTGACAGGCAAGCTACTTGTGCACATGACCATGCATAGGCATGACCTATGTTCATGCAAGCACATATGGGTACCTGTTCACTGGGTGGCGTTTGGATATCCTGGCTGCCACCGTATGCACCGCACATAGCCATTTGGCAGGCAGCAGCAAGCCAGAGCAGGTGGGGTATGCTGTACTCACAGTCCTGCCGGTAGCCGCTCCGCTAGTAGTGCCCAAGGCACTGGATTGAATGGTGGGAGGCGCTTTAGGCGGCCCTTGGGGTCGGACAACAATGTGGTGGCAGGAAGTCCGCAACACCGTCAGACCTTGCCAGGCAACCTTGCGACTGGCGGCACTTGCCGGCCACCTGCCAGCCACTTGCAAGCTCTTTGAGGTGACAGGGGGGCGCGAGGCGCGCTAACAAGGCATACGATGAGAATTGTCATTCGTTGAACCCTCCAACGCATTACTATTGATAGCACTGCGAGTTACAGCATCGCAGATCTGTTGATCCAGGCGCAGCCCGCACACTGTACAGTCTAAGCTTGAAAAAACTGATGTATTGATCCATTAGAAATCCTTGCGGCACATCAGCAGCGTGGTTGGCGCTATCCCGCAAAAATGGCGGACTCCGGCCGCGGACGAGGGCGAGGCAGGGTAAGGCAGCATTTAGTATTGGAGAAAGTGTGTGCTTGTTGCCAGCATGCTGCAAAGCTCGTGTGCGGCTACCCCCGGCCGCCGGAGCCGCGTGATGCTGCATGCAGCGGTTGCTGCACCCGCTGCCCGCGTCGCAGTTGATGTTCAGGCAGCGCCACAGCAGCCATGCAGCTGCCATGCACCGCCGGCCCACCCCCACGCAAGCGTCCCTTGCGTCCCCGCTCCGTCGTGCCCCGCAGTTGAGCGGCAAGTTTGCGCCCTCGGTCCCCGGCCGCCGCAAGAAAGCTGACGGCGCGGGCCCCTCCCAAGCCGACGCGGCGTCCCAGGATGAGAAATTTGCCCAGCTGATTCAACAGGCCCAGTCGGACGCCGGCCAGCGCGGCAGGGGCCGCTTCGGCCCTGGCCGCGGCCGCGGCGGCGTGCAGCGCGCGGCGGTCGCGTTCGGCGCCGGCGGC